CTGTCGACCGTTCGTTTGCGCCACGTCTGAGAATGATGCGCTCTGCCCTTAGCCACCCTGAGAGGTGAGCCCCTTAATCACCTTCTCGTTACTCACTCCCTCTAGCGCTGGGCAGTACATCACCCATTTCCTCTGGCTGAGGGTGTGGAGGGAGTGTCACGGAGATGGGTAACTTAACGCCACTCCCTTGGACGCGGTAGCAGAAAACTTAGCTGCCATCGCTCCTTTGATGTCACCCTCCTTCTCGTACTCGACAAGCACAGATCCGTCCCGTTGACGAGTTGCTTTTCTTGGCCCACCGGCCGTTGAGAGCACACCATCCAGGCGGCGGAGGGGGTTCAGATCTGTTTATTTATGGTTATCCTATTGTTTTTCACACCAAGAAACTGAGGCACTTTTGACGTTTGTTCCTCAAGTCGATTGTCCTGCCCCTGCTAGAGGGGTCAGATGCTAGTTCCTTGCGAGGGGGGTCCGCGGTGGTCGTGTTTGAGGTGTGGCGATCCATATGTCGATTTGCTTGATTCAGCGTGCAAGTTTCCCACCCACCAGATCGGAGCCCAATAAACGGACGGCACACTAGGCAACCACTGGGCCGCCAGGGACTACCTGTGCGCCATACGCGGGACGATGCGCCAAACGCGCCGCTGCGGGAGGCCCCAGGCACGAGCCTGCGGAAGCCAATGTCCTGAACAACGGAGGAATGACGAGACGCCTCACGCGGGTAAGCCGAGACACGGCCCCACGCCTAGGCGTTAAGGCAGGCACTACGTGGTGACTCCCGTCACATGACCCGCTTGGCTCCAGGCCGGTGCCGCGGAAATGCGTCGCGAGACCGGCCGGTGTCTTCGTGTGGAGTCGCCACGCCGTATCCGCGAGTCACCTATTCGGGCCAAAAACATGTATTGGAAGATTGCCCCGACCGACCTGCAGAACATCTCACCTCGATGTCCTGGATCATGACGTCGCTACCTGCAAATTCAGCGGGGTAGGGGAAGACCCAGGTAAAACCGGAAAGCCATGGCCGAGGGGTTGCATATTCCTCCTTCAACCGAGGTCAGAACCCTTGCGGGAGGCACGTTTAGTTTGGTTTCTCTCCTTTGGCCGGAAGGGGCGCCCATCTGTGTACCTTATTTCTGTAGGGAGTGGTACTTTCAACCTACGACTAGACAACTGCCTTCGTACCGCGTAGGGCTTTCTACGTCGATCCCCACGAGGAGTCATTACGCAAATTTTCCGTGATGCATTTAGCCCACGACAAAAGTCATTCGATTGCACTTGTAAAAAAATCAGTCATTCCCGCTCTACTGCTCGACGCGCACCACCAGCCGTCATCCAGTGGAGGCTATCGGGAATAAATAATTTTGTATAGCAGACTATCACTACAAAAACTTTGTCAGTTAGCAGACGGGCAACTAAGCACCAAATCTTACGGCCTATCGATTTATTGCATGATACATTGAGATAATAGGGTGTACATACGGAAACAATGCACGACATATAACAGACCAGGAATAATGCGTGATCACGTAACCTCTTAAAACCTACAGAACGCGTTTCCTTGAAGTATTTGAACAATGAAAGGGGCTGGGGATCTCAGAAAATCGCCAAAGGATCGGTGATTCCTCCGCCGGGCCTACATGGTTGACGGGTGTAGATGCTGAGCATCCAGTCGTCGGCGCGCCAGGCCGATAGGGGTCTCAGGACCGGCGGCCCCAGGAGTTTCAGACTCTCGCGCACTATACTATACGCTCCGTCGACTCTGTAGCTACTGTTTCCACCGACGAGGTCGGTGTTTTTTTAAGAGCCTGGGCAAGTATTGCAAGTATTGATCGTCCTGGCGCGCATGTCCGGAACGGGCACTCGGGCCAAACGTGACAAACAAAAAACCGTACTCGCACATTGAAAAACACAGCATGTGGCCCGCGGCGGGTAGATACGCTGCGAGCCAAATCTGAAGCCAAACCACGTCCCACGTCTATCAAGACAGCTTCGTATTTGTATTCACATTCAGATTTACGTCCCAATCTGGACTGCTAAGATTTCGCCCCAATTTCGCACACAAGTAAAAGTCACTGAGCACAAAACGACGCATGTCATTTCCCATCACATTGAAAACTTTGCCGTCCAGAAGCAGTCAAAGTTCAAGGTCATTGACCCAGACCCCTTATGATTTCGCCCAAATTTCGAGCACATATGGTGCCTAGTGAGCTGGTAACGACGCATCAGTCATTTGCCATCGCAATTTACAGCTCAGGTACAACCTACATGCGGGGAGTGCTCAATGAACAGATCATGCTGCAGCAAACCGTCTTAATTCATATTGAAGCATGAGCCGTCTACAGGCAAAAGTGTTTTTGCCGTATTCAAACCTTATATTCGGATTCGTCTATTACCTAGACTCATACGTTTTAGTTGGATCGTACATTCAGGCAGTACTCGATGAGCTGATGACACCGCAGCGAACCGTTTCTCATTGCATTGAAAAATGAACTTTCTAGAGCCAACAGTGTGTCCGTGGTATTGCCATTCAAACCTCAGGATGGGACTACACCGATTTCCCAGACCCTACAGCTTAGCTAAAAACATACATGCGTGGAGTATTTGAATAACAACGGACTGCGCTGCAGCAAATTGGTTTGCGTCAAATTAAATGAGCCGTGTGGAGACAAAACTGCATCCGCCGCGTTTACCTTCAAACCTCAGATTCGCATGCGTCCATTACCTGGACCCATGCGATTTAGTTAAAAACATACGTGCGGGGAGTACTCGATGCGCTGATCACGCCGCAGAAAAAGCTTTGGCGTCATGTTGAAAAATAAATGCTTTAGAGCCAAGTGTGCCCGTCGTATTCACATTCCATTTTACCATGTCGGGATTGGCTGATTACCGGACCCCAATTACTGGCCTAAAAACTTGCGCACAGCTAGTACTCAATGAGCTAATCACAACGGTATAATTTGCATCCCGTCAAACCGATTGCTTTCACCTACAGGGGTTTCCACAGTGCCAGGTCATTGACCTCAATTTCTACGATTTGGCTAAAAACATATATCTAGGGACTACGCAAGGCGCTGTTCACACTGCAGCAAAAACTTTTGTGTCACATTGAAAAATGAGACTTCTAGAACGAGACAGGTATTCGCTAGCTTTACATCGCCGCTTCAGAAACGTATTCGCCAAATATTGTGACAGCTCTGAGCTAAAACCGTGGACAAAGATATCATTCCATCCGCTGATCACCATGCATGTTCCTTGCGACTGAACTGTCTTCCACCATGCTGAAAAAATGAGCCTTCTAGAGGCAAAAGTGTGTCCTCCGTACTCATATTCAATGTTCCAGATACGGATTCGTTCATCACCCGGACCCTATGATTTGTCTTAAAATTTGCACGAAGGTAGTGCTTAAGGAGCTAATAACGATGGAACAGACTGCATCCCGTCACATTGGAAATCCAAACTACGAAGGTCAGCGCAGTTCCAGGTTGTTGACCCCGGAACCCCTACGATTTGGCTAAAACATATACAGCGAGTACTCGATGCACTGATCACGCTGTATCGAACCGTTCTGCGTCTCAATAACCCTTACCCGATTAGGGAGTTGTTGACAATACCCCACCGGTTCTACCGAGCGCAGGGGAAAAACCATAATGATGCAGCCACGCGAAAATTTAAGTACCTTTTCCTTGATCGTTTTTACATATTGTGTGAAATTTTTGAATACATTGAAGGTCAGTTCACTGATCTAGGTCATGTCCCGTATCCAATGTTCGAAGAAGTTTGACGTCTTGTAACTTTTTCGGAAACGGATATCCATACAATTTTCAGACATGCATATCATTCCAGGATTTACAGATTTGCGACGTCAGATTTTTTTCGGAAATTGCCTAGTTACTGACCCAGGTTAGGTCAACTCTGGGCCCAATTACCCCTGCCTCTCGAGGTCAAAGTTTCCAACGTGATGGCAAATAACCGACACGTAGCTACCAGCCCACTAAGCACTGTCTGTGCAAAATCCGAACGACCCGCCTTCACATTTAAACAAACTCTCGAGATACCTGAAGCCGAACGATTGTTTTAGTATGCGGACGGTTGCAGTTTATCTGAGCTGTGTCCCGTCCACTCCCCAGATAGATTCTCCTGACTGCGCCCCTGCAAGCGCAGTTTATCTGAGCTGTGTCCCGTCCACCCCCCAGATAGATTCTCCTGACTGCGCCCCTGCAAGCGCAGTTTATCTGAGCTGTGTCCCGTCCACTCCCCAGATAGATTCTCCTGACTGCGCCCCTGCAAGCGCAGTTTATCTGAGCTGTGTCCCGTCCACTCCCCAGATAGATTCTCCTGACTGCGCCCCTGCAAGCGCAGTTTATCTGAGCTGTGTCCCGTCCACCCCCCCGATAGATTTTCCTGACTGCGCCCCTGCGAGCGCAGTCAGAACCCTCAGAGTGCGTAACTCCCCTCACTCGGCTCCAGCGACCCCGCCACGGGTGCGATGGGATCGGCAGACGCTGCGAGCGATGGAGCAACGTGAGGCGACGAAGCTATGATTTTGGTGACATTCTGAAATATTTTCGTGCCCGCTCACATCCCTCCACCGGGACTCTGCTGCCTTAGCCCTGATATCTGGTCGGTTTCTTCCTCTATATTTGAACCGGCAGTATTGTTTGGCACATCAACAGTGACAACAGTGACAAATTCGTTTTCTGATTCGCACGAGCTGCGGGAGCCACAGGAGTTACCTGCAAACCACCGCCAGACTTCAGTGGGCACACGGATAGCGCCCCAGGCGGTCTCCTGACATATACGTCCTGGAGTTCTGTGAACGCCTTGAAGATATCCGTCCCGTTTAAGCAATAAGTGTGGGAGCATGGGGGGGGGGGGGGCTTCTCTCCCGGCTCCGGGCGACATTTAACCTTGGGAGGGAACAAGGTAAAAGCACACATGTCTGCATCTCCAGGATGTTCCGGCGCTTCCGACGTCAGTACTCAGGAGATAAACAACAAAAATAAGAGATGATATAACTGGTAATCGTGGTTTATTCAGTACAAAATCACTGATATGCTTCAGGTTGTTCCGGGCGATTCCAGGACCGCCCTTTCCCAAGCGTTACACACAGTAAGCAATATCACAGTACATAAGCAGGACCGCAAGCAGACTACTGACAACAATCTCAATAACACTTGCAGGGCTCCCAATAAAGTATAGCAGACAGTGGCAGAGGAATGGGCATTTCAAGCGGGGGGGGGGGGGGGGGCAGACACAGGTTGAACCCATTTTTGCCATAGGAATATCAAATGGCTAGCGCCAGCTTTATTCCAAGGTTGGGCCAATGCCGCCAATACCCCACGCCGCTTCTGGCACCGTGATGAAGTCGTGGCTTGATAAACAAAATTTGGATTCACAAGAAAACTGCTCGCATTATCCCAGCGGCTGGCAGCACCCGACCAATAATTTCAAACAGCTTGTTTCTCAATGTCAAATGTTGCGGCGTCCTGATGCTTCAGTGACACACCTTCTGACGTAGCTGGTCACATCACATAACCCACCGCCGAGATATGACCCTCCCCTGTCCCATGTCCAGGCACAGCAGCACCGACTAGACACCAAGAAAATACCGGCCCAACGCCTCTCAAGAGACGCTTCATGTCTCAACCACAACCTAGGAAATGGCAAGCCAAAGCGCCAACAAACTTGAACAAAAGCAGGTACATACTCCTGAAGCGCCACGCACGGGAGTGCCTCGCCAACAAAGTCACCCTCATCGCGCTGCACAAACTGTCTTTATCCTGAAACCAATACTGACCAGCGAAGCAAAGAGAAGTGAAGCGCAGCATCAGACCATGTCGAGCCGCGTGGTGCGCGAGGGCGGTGGCCGGCTGGCGGCGATCACAGGTCGAGAGTGCTGCTGCGCCTCCGGCCTACCTCCTCCATCTCGCCCAGAGTCTCGTCCTCGCCGCCCTTGACCGGGGTCATCCGACCGAACCACAGCTCCCGCTGGCGGCAGAGGCAATGCATCGCTGACGACGGGCACGCCAGCCCGACCGCCCACAGCAGACACGGGCGCCGCTCGGCTGGGCCTGCCCGCAGCCAGCCCGCTCGTGTGTCGTGCCCGTCTGTTACACCATGCATGTCGGTCGTAACACGCGAGTACTCACACCTGCAACCGACGCGGGACCCCACCCACACCCGATGCGGCACCCCACCCACACCCGACGCGGCACCCCACCCACACCCGACGTGGCGCCCCGCCCACACCCGACATGGCGCCCCACCCACACCCGACATGGTACCCACCAATACTCGACATGGCACCCCACCCACGCCCGACATGGTACCCCGCCCACACCTAACGCGGCACCCAACGTACCATCAACACGGCATCCCGCCCACATACCACACAGAAGATCATTTGCAGGCAGCCGACACGGGAAAAATACGGAAATAGTGGACGTCCGGCACCGCAATTTTTCACGATCCGTCATTTTCTAATTTTGATGTTCTATCCAGCAACATACTATGCTGAGAAGTAAATTACACACAAGCACGAACACATACTGTATGTATATATATATATATATATATATATATATATATATACATATATTAGCATTATAATAAACATTATAGTAGAAATGCATATATATATATATATATACATATATATTAGCATTATAATAAGCAAAATGCATATTGCTTTATGCATAGTAAAAAACCTCCAAAATATAACACAAGAAAAACCTAGTCCGACTTGCAGGACATCAATTGCAAGCACGGCTACGTGGAGCTGACGCTGCGCCACCGGCCACAGCGGCGCTTGCACCCATGCGCATGCCCATAAATAATACGGCGCAAAAGACAAGTGACGACATAGCACATCCAATCGTGACTGACAAACACTGCCGCATGCCGTCTGGCGGTGGCCGTGCCAAATTATACTCACGTTTCTTGGGAATCCTATTTGGGAAAGACAAAAACCTGCATGAGACGCACACAAAACCTACAAATTTCGAGCATCGCAGACAGGGCCCTAAGCATGGTAGTCACACCGACCGCCTATATGTCAGACTGACAGCCGACGCCCGCCTAGGCGAGCTCCTGAGCAATGTACACCGCACTTGAAAAGAGGGCCACGCCCGAGCTACACCGCACCCGAGACGAGCTGGCTCAGAGGGCCACGACCGAGCTACACCGCACCCGAGACGAGCTGGCTCAGAGGGCGACGACCGAGCTATACCGCACCCGAGACGAGCTGGCTCAGAGGGCGACGACCGAGCTATACCGCACCCGAGATGAGCTGGCTCAGAGGGCGACGACCGAGCTACACCGCACCCGAGATGAGCTGGCTCAGAGGGCGACGACCGAGCTATACCGCACCCGAGATGAGCTGGCTCAGAGGGCGACGACCGAGCTACATCGCACCCGAGATGAGCTGGCTCAGAGGGCCATGGCCGAGCTATACCGCACCCGAGACGAGCTGGCTCAGAGGGCGACCGAGCTACACCGCACCCGAGACGAGCTGGCTCAGAGGGCGACGACCGAGCTACACCGCACCCGAGACGAGCTGGCTCAGAGGGCGACGACCGAGCTATACCGCACCCGAGACGAGCTGGCTCAGAGGGCGACGACCGAGCTATACCGCACCCGAGATGAGCTGGCTCAGAGGGCGACGACCGAGCTATACCGCACCCGAGATGAGCTGGCTCAGAGGGCGACGACCGAGCTACACCGCACCCGAGACGAGCTGGCTCAAAGGGCCACGACCGAGCTACACCGCACCCGAGACGAGCTGGCTCAGAGGGCGACGACCGAGCTATACCGCACCCGAGACGAGCTGGCTCATAGGGCCATGGCCGAGCTACAGCGCATACTCAAACTGCTTGCTGGGAGGGAATATCACCGTCTACGCAGCAAGATATCTTACCACATACACCAATCTCTACACGAAGTTTGTAAAACACCTGTTAATCTCTTTCAAAAAGTTGATGGCGCCTATGGTTCGTGGCATATCAAAGCGTGTGCGGTCTCAGCTTTTACGCCGTAAGTCCCCTTGACTGCTTGATGGATCTTTGGCCTGAGGTCAAGTAAAACCATAGCTCAAGCGTCCTTCCCATTTTGTGTACTCCTTCCACGTCTTTACCCAATCTGAAGCGACGGATTACGCTAGCAAGAACACAAACCATCCCGCCGTCACTGCGTCTGGCCGTCCAGCGCATCGACCGAACGCGACAGACGAATGGGGGGCACCTCCCGCCCGGAGGTGGCGCTCTTACCGACGGCAGGCTGTACTGGTGCGCACCGCACCACTGCTCGAAACATGCGCGCACCGCGTTGATCTTCGCCGGTTCGAGCTGTCGGCACGCCACCATGACGTACGTCTCCCGGAACCTGGGCGGCACCAGACCACGCACGGTCAGCACTCGACGAGACGCGGCCAGCACCAGACCACGCACGGTCAACACTCGACGAGACGCGGCCAGCACCAGACCACGCACGGTCAACACTCGACGAGACGCGGCCAGCACCAGACCACGCACGGTCAACACTCGACGAGACGCGGCCAGCACCAGACCACGCACGATCAGCACTCAACGAGACGCGGCCAGCACAAGACCACGCACGGTCAGCACTCAAGACAGGGCCAGCACCGCACCCAACATCGGGAGTACCAGACTACGTACGGCAGGTACTAGACCAAAAACGGCCGGAGCCAAACCAAATACGGACAGTGTCACACCAAACACGGCCGGCACCAAACCAGACGCGGTCAGCACCAAACACACACGTTAAACACCACACCGGAAACCCGTCACATCCGCATGGAGTCATCCATGCCCCACGACCACCTCACACAACCATGTGATGTTTGGCACCGTCCCGTCCCCATCCCGCCCCCACCCCCACCTCACGCACGCGGCCGTCGCCCAGTGACTCACTTGTCCGGCAGCATTGGTGACACCTCAGTGCGGCGGATCACCTCCGCCGTGTTTGGATTTTTCTTGGAGTAGAAGCGCACACAGTCGATGGGGTTGCGGTTGCCCATGCCGTAGGAGATGCTGATGACGCTGACCAGCAGGTCTTCGGGTCGCACGCCGTCCCCGGGCTGCAACATCTTGGCCATACCGCTCCGGATCGCTTCCGTGTCGATCTGGAGCAGAGTGGCGAACACGTCCGCCCAGAGACGAGTCAGTCCGGATACAAATGGAAGGAGGCCTCAGTCCGGTCTCCACTCAGGTCGTCAGTCCGGAGTGAGCGTGAATTCGACCCGTAACGCCAGAGGGACGTTACGAGGCCTGATTCGGACGTCAGGAGACCTGATTTGAACGTCAGGCGACCTGATTCGGATGTCAGGTGACCAGGTTCGGACGTCAGGAGACCTTATTCGGAAGTCAGGAGACCTAATTCGGACGTCAGGAGATCTGATTCGGACGTCAGGAGACCTGATTTGGACGTCAGGTGATCAGGCTCGGATGTCAGGAGACCTGATTCGGACGTCAGGTGGTCAGGTTCGGAAGTCAGGTGACCTGGTTCGGACGTCAGGAGACCTAATTCGGACATCTGGAGAGCTGATTCGGACGTCACGTGACCTGATTCGGAGGCGGTTACACTAAGCAGTCACCGCCAAGCCGATCTCCGGCTCATCGGCAGCGCTCACCGACCACATTCGCACGACACATAAGACTTAAAATTTGTGAAATACGAGGGAAATCAAACGGCGGAATAGAGCACGCGAAACGGTGGATGACAACTATGGCCGGGGCTCAACATAAGGCCGCATACAGGCTGGCGCTGGCCCACCTCCCGGCCGTCGGTGGACGTGGGCTGGCTCGAGCAGACGAACTTGTAGAGCCGCCGGGTCTGAATGTCGTGCAGCAGGTGGCGCGCCGCCGCCAGCTCCGGCGCGGTGCTCTGCGCCACCAGCTGCACCACGTGGTCAGTCAGGTGCGTGTAGACGGCGGCGCGGTCGCAGGCGCGCGACATGCGCACGCCGGGCGCGCCCGGCTCCGCGGAGTCCGGCAGCAGCAGGTGCTGGTCAGCAAGCGTCAGCACGTCGAGGAACCTGCCGCCCGTCAGCGGCCGGGATCAGCGGCAGGGCTAAACAGCCGGGGTCAGCGACAGGAGTCATCGGCAGGGGTCCGTGGTCAGGGTCAGCGGCAGGGATCAGCAGCCGGGCCCAGGGTCAGTGGCCGGGGTCAGCAGCCGGGGTCAGCGGCCGGGATCAGCGACAGGGCTAAACAGCCGAGGTCAGCGACAGGAGTCATCGGCAGGGGTCCGCTGCCAGGGTCAGTGGCCGGGGTCAGCAGCCGGGCCCAGGGTCAGTGGCCGGGGTCAGGGGCAGGCATCAGCGGCCGGGGCCAGCGACATGGGTCAGCGGCAGGGGTCAGCGGCAGGGGTCAGTGGCCAGGGTCAGCGACACGGGTCAGCGGCCGGGGTCAGCACAGTCGGTGGGCTCGCTGTGCAGAATCGCCGGACACCGAGCTCGCGCTTGCGGTCAGGAGCGGTGACACGCCGCCACGCTCAGGCTCTAGCGGCCGCGACACGGCCAGGCTACTACTAACATCGCGCGGTGCGGCAGGCAGGACATGGCCAGATGATGACGGCGATCGACCAAGCGGAGCACATCAAACAGACCGCATCACTGATGTGATGGCGCTCATCACCAGAGCAGAACAGAAGCGGGCGTGACCCAAGCGATGCAGCCGACGGGACAACGTCCGACACTCACATACGCTCCACGATGCGGACGACGCGATGCTGATACGCGCGGCGGTGCAGCACCCAGCGCGTGTAGAACAGATCGTACATGTTGCCGACTTCCTTGTCGCGAGTGCAAATCTGGAAGCCCTCATTTTCCACTTTTATTACCCTGCCGGACAAGGGCGGATCTTACTCCAGGGACCAGCATTGCGTTCGCGGACCATGTAATTGTGCGTAGCGAGATAAACCTACGAAGACCGCAATCGCAGAATTCCACAGGCCGTTAGGTCCCAGATGTGTGGACAGAAGACGCTCAACGCAAAATCACGCCCCGGAGCACGTGCACCACCGGGACTGCACGAATGTGTACAGGGGCTACAAAGCCCCGGAACCTCCCAGTGCACCACGTGGTCTATTCGTAACGCACACCTGGTCTTCCCAAATTCAAACTCGGGCTGTTCCGGGCGGCGTCGGCTCGCTACACCTGCCGCAAGTCCGACTGACCACCACCCAGCGGATGTTTCCGTGCTGCGCCGCTGTAGCGCGGGGCCAGCTTGCCCGTGGTGGGCGTCCGCACCCCTCGCGCAGGGCATTCGTGACGAGTGTTTCACACCTGTGTGCGGTTCAAAACAGAAATAGCCATCTTGAAGATCACTTGGCGTAGTTCGCAGCCCATCCCTTCTTAAGACCTCAAACGTTCCCCTTTCTGAGGCGCACGCCCGCGAATATGTGCAGACTGCTTCGTGCGGGCTATCTCAGTCACTCAGGCATGCATGATCCCACAAAAACGTCATTCAGATACTGCCACCCCGTTGCCTACGCGGTGTTCAAGGCTAAAAAGAATATGCTCGTCGAGTCGTTCATGTCTAGCGTTCGTGAGCACGGTTTCCAGGTATAATGAACTTCAACTGGCTCCCGAACACTGTTGGACAGGAAGAGCAAGAGCACTATCACCTTTTAAACACTTATCACCTTTTGCGCCACATCATGCAACACGCTGGACGTGGGTACTCGAAATTACAAAATAAGGCTTGTAATCGAATAACGTAAGAATCGTAACCGATCATGTGAATGGAACTAAACAACTTAAACTCACGAAAAACGTTCAAAAACACCACGGGAGGGTCAAAACACGAGCAAATGTCGACACTTGCTTCAGCAAATACGTCTTGGACCGTCACTGGATATGCTATACACACACACGCCGAACGAATATGCAGCGAGTTGAAGTGCTGCAAGTGAGTACCAGGGTAACAATTTCGCACGGCCCATTTGGCAGCACCTCCAAGCCATCCAAACACTCCATGACGCAACCAAACAATGAAGTATTGACGAGCATGTTTACTAAATATAGAAAGTGTGTTATTTGGAACGGTTATTCCACTTAGAAGTATGCCAATCTTTATAAGTGAGCCTTCTTTCGTCATATTTGACGCTTGCACAAATATCCCCAAATGTGGAGCATTTTCCTACAAGTATACTAGTCGTTATAAGTGAAATCATTTCACCATATTCGATGCTTGCCTCAACGTCTTCAAATGTGGAGTACTCCCGTTAACTACTTTCAGCTGCTGACTGATTGGCTGGAACTACTTTTGCCTGAGCGTTTATGTGAATCTCTCTACGTGCTGTTCTTTTCTTATGCGACTAGGCGCAGAACAACCTCCACCTGCATGCGCCTTCGATGAAATAGATGGAAAAGGAAACAAAATGAAATGTGAATGCAGAATCACATCTGCGCACTGGCCAGGCTGTTAAAATAGAGCCAGTAGCCGGGATGCTCGCCAATCCATATTTTCTGTGAACTTGACGACGACCAAATTATTTCAGCGCGTTTGAATTTAAAAATGGCCGCCAGTGACCCACGGACATTTCCGATGACGTTCAGACAATGCCGTCCACTTTCTTGCAATGATCAACAAAGACCTTCTGTGAGCACGCTCACCTGCTGTAAAGAAGGCACCGTCTATAGTCAAAGCTGATGTTGATTCCAAGCAGAAGTGAATCGCGGCAGAAGTAGTCCCATTTGTCAACATCGATGCCGTTCCGCTTGTTCGAGATAATCTGCAAAACATCACATCCCATAAACAAACCAGCAGCGAACAATACATTACTGAGCAAATTTGTTTCCCTTGAGTGTAACTGGGTAAGTCGCCATTATCTTCTTGACAGACATCCTCACAATGTAATAAGCGCTACTGGACATCACCACCCGCGATCGCCACTGTTAACAACACCACGACCTGTCATGCCTCACAAACCGCAGCCCTCGCCGAAGGACTGCACGCGCCGCGCGCGTACCTCGGCCCCTCGCAGCCGTCTGCTGACCTCGTACAGGAAGGTCTTCTGGTCAGGGCGACCCGTGTAGCGACCGGTGCAGACGCTGGGGCCCGCGATCTGCTCCTTGATGAAGATCAGGTCCTGCTCGGTCAGGCCGGCCGCCTTAAACTTGGGCATCAGGTCGTTCTCCTCCACCATGTGCTGGAACATCTGCACGGACGCCTGCTCGTGCTGCAGAAACAGGTGGACGGGAGCGGTCAGCGACGAGGGAGACTTTCAGTGCAGCGTACCGGGACCCATGCAAACAAATTTTCACGCTCGGAACGTAGCGTCGGAGCCTCTGCTCTGCTGACGACGCCAAACGCGTTATAAGATATTGGTGGACAACAATGGTGCTAATGCAAACGCAGCAATGCAGCATATCGAGAATAGCAACAGTAATCTCCGCCCAATGACGTAACAAAACCACCCCTCTCATGTAATGATGTTGTCTATCAAATGACTTGGGCCACTTATCACCTGCGTCTGCTTTCGCGCGTCAAGAGCTTGTTTATCACATAAAATATTCCTAGTACACACTCCCACAATCAAGCTGTGTATGCATCAAAACGGCACGTCACGGCCCTTGCGACGAGCGAGACGTCGCTACACCACGCACGTCAACGAGACAGAACACAGGAGCGGTCGCATCTCTTCCGCGCACCGCTCGCTCACTGCTGGCTGCACGCGGCCGCCGCTGCTGACGCCGTTCAGGCCGCATGGTGGCGCTAGCCGGACCGCTTTCGTTCGCCGGTCCAGGGCGGCGGCAGGCGGCGGGCGTACCTTCCACTTGCGTTCGGGCCGAACCTCGTCCATGAACGTCTCCCACATGTGGGAGAAGGGACCGTGTCCCAGGTCGTGACAAAGGCCGGCCAGCGTGACGCACAGCGCATCCTCGTCGGTGATGTTCAGCTCGGGCTGGTTTCGCCGCAAAGTGTTGACAAGCTCCGAAGCCAGGTACGCCACCCTGTGCGGCGGCCCAGCGTCAGCGCGAGGCTCTCGACAGCGGCGCCCGAAACCGGTCGCCGAGTCCTTCACGGCAACAGCGGCCAGTGGCGGATCCAAGACCGAGTCCTGGAGGGGTCAAGCGCCCACTATCGCATCCAGAGCCCGACAGCCGAATCCAGGGAGAGGAAAGTTCTGCCTTGTCGCCTTCGGCGAATGGTCTTAATGGACTAACCAGGGACCGATACAGCCAGAGGCGATCAACTGTTAGGGATGCATGCAAGAACAAAAATGTAACCTGAGACGATAATCACGGACCATCGCGTCCAATTTTACACAAGCCTCTATTGACATTTCAATTGCACTATCTCTTTAGAGCTGAGGTGTTCTGACAGTGCAAAATACGAAAGTAGGAACATTTTGTTTGTCCTATAGGTGCAGCCCTCGTACCACTGGCGGCTGACCATGAACCGGGACTCACCCGTGACTCATGGTCAGCAGTGGCGAAAAAGTGGTTTGAATATTCAATCATCATTCTTGCCACTTGGCACAGGTCTCATCCATTGCGAATCATTCACTTAAAGACTGCAAAACCTTGGCTCCAAATGTTCTCTGCTCTGTCATCCATAGCTGTAGCTGATATGCAGCAAAAGCAAATTAGATATAAGGTAACCACACCACAGTGGGGATGGGGACAATCCCCTCTTTTGTTGGATAAGAGAGGCAGTCCCTCCTTGCTTAACAGCTACTTATTTTCAACCTGTTTTTTCATTAAAGGGTCTCTATTCCTATTTAATAACCTAATTATTATATTAAATATTCTCAATTTAATAACCTAACTTAAGTAGATATGTGAGGAGCATTGTACTTACAAGGCAGTACAGTAAGCCTTATTCCTCATAGAATAACCAGAAAAAAGGAAAGCTAGATGCATTATCACCCATCCCTCCTTTCTCCTGGTTATTCTATGAGGAATAAAGCTGACAGTACAGTCCTACCTTTAGCAGTTTTACATCAGTTGACTAGCATTTCTACAAATGCCAGTTTGATGATGATAGAAAAAACTTTGACACTGCAACAATATTTTTCTGCTGGCATAGAGCAACAGACACCTACCAATGTTGGAAAGGCAAGAATATAATATCCACCTGGATTACTTCATCCAAGTCAATGCTCACAGGGCCAATTTTACATTTTCAGGAAGTTATGGGTCTCAGACCCTGCCCCTATGCCCAGTTCCCACATCTCATGCCTTACAATGTTGTAACTCAAGGTGTATGGAGAATTTGCACAATAATGGTCATTTACTAACCATCCCTTATTACACTACATGCATGATTTCCCTTTTGTTCAATGTTGTGATGGTTTTGTGATCCTATACCCTGTATCAGAAATTTGTGGCACCACCCATTAAGGTAACATGTCTCCTGGAAGAATGAGCAGCTGTTTTAATTGCACAGATGTAATTGTATGTGGCTCCATGCCCACACCACTCATCATGACCATACAACACTAGGAATGCTCATGAGAACACAAGCAAAAGTTTCCCATGAGCCTTTGAGAAAATTAATGGAAGAACTTCAAAACCACTGAGAGACTGCCTTAAACTGACTTTTCCACTGGGGGCAATTGGAGGATTTAATGGAGATGATAACAAACCTGTAACACCCAAATAGCATGTGACAAAGCAGCAACTGATCAACACAAAAAACATTCCAAGGCTATGTTATTATGTTCCTATACTCAACTCACCCAAGAGAATGCTCAAAACGGTTGTGTGCAGCTGATGGAAACACATAGTATGATCCACCAAGTTGTTTGATGTAGCGTAATCGCTGGAACTGGGGAGTATCTATGACATGGACACAAACAGGGTGCAGCTCAAAGTGGCCATGCACAGCGTCATTGAAGACCTTCCAAGGAGCCTCCATTCCTGCAAAATACAAAATGCGACTCTCAGTTTCTCCCAACCACACGAAGTTGTCAAAAGTTTCACGAGCTCCATGGCGTAGCTAATGCACACAGTAAGTCGAGCACATCGAGAGCTATGATCTCCTGACCTGTGTTGGACTCAAGACGAATTCAATCGATGTTTTATTCACAGAAGGACATTTTTTAGACGTCAAGAAACATCCTCCCGCGGGGCACTCTATTTCCCATCCCATTCCAGCTATGGGCCCGTTAAGCCAAACTGAAGTATCTGTGCCAATTCTTGGAACCTTGGAACTACCCATATTAAATGACGTTGGAATGACCGTTCCGGCATTGGGTGATGCGCGGCCGGGTCGTTGGCTTGAATAAAATGGAAACCAAATTCGACAAACCTGGCATACAGGAAATCTATAGTCATATACCAGCGCTATGGAATGCGCACAGTCGCTTTCAATAATAACCATTTTCCGAGTGCCCGAATCATAGTTATCACCTTCCCGCGTGACGACAGCAAGCAGCCACTCACCGTTAAGGCGTTGTTTGGACTAAAAAAGTCATGTCGGGCAGTGAGAGAGTTGCATTGCCTGCCGCTAGGGCTTCCACAAGGACGCCGTGTGGATAAGGTCACACCTTCCACGCACGAGTAAAACTATTTCAAATTCAGCGCCGCATCTGTGCAGATCACTCTCTCAGTATGTGCAAATCTGTGCCCCGGCATGCAAATCACTCCAAAAATGATTCGCTGTCGCGAAGTCGACCGCATAGAATCGAAGGTCCAATCTGACGGGTCTGTTGTGCTGGCAGCTGATGACCCTGTAACTGAGTCATCCACTGCGCACCCAAGTATTTTAACCCGGCTGCCGTGCTATGGCAATTTCTCCACCGGCAGGCCGGTCAGTCAGCTATGCCCCGTTTAGGTGTGGTTTGAACAAGAAAGATGATGTGGCTGGTAATAGACTTGCATTGCCCGCCGATTGCACTCCCATAATGGCATGGTGCGCGCAAGGTTGCCACCCCCGCTTACACAAACAAAAAATTCGAGTTGAACGCCATACCTAATGCCAAATGACACTCCTCGCAACTCTTCACCTAATCGTTCGGATATTGTCCGACAGAGGGCTACCGGAGCCGATTTCACCCGCTTCAGCCGACGAGTAGCGTCATGCGGCTCAGTGCGGCCCAGATAATCCACTGTGCATGGATATGGACAATGTTTTGTTTGAGCGCATCAACTTAACCGCGTCAGCACGCCCCTGGCAGCAGGCGCATTAAATAATTCAAAACTCTGATCCCTGGCTCGTGGCATCGGAAATAGCTGGTTACTCGGCAGTCGCTGCACAGTAATCGTGGAAAGCACTTGCCGGGTTGCCTGCTGTTTGGTATTGTGGGCTATGGATAAAATTATCCGCGGTATTTGGTTCCGTTATTTCCTGTACGTGTTGGTGGCGTTTCTCATTTTTCGAAGGAATTGATGACTGATGTGTAAGGCGGACTGATTTGATGTCTGTTCCAGCTAGGCGCGCATATAAATCTCCAGCTCCTGGCACGCAACCTATATTGTTAGTGATTTTATTTGACTGATTCCCCTCCCTCTTCCCAATTACATTTTTTTCACACACTCCTGCAAACGGGACTCATTCGGAATTCTACATGCCTTTACTCTCAAAGAGAGAAGGCGGGGGTTGTCTCATCAGGTGAATCCGGGCACTTCTCCCTGGTGAGACACGTTCAACGGCCTAGCCTACAAACAATTCGTCTCCTCAGTCAGGTACGTTTCAAACGGGCGCGGTTTACCAAAATAAGTCGGTTGGCAGAGCGATGAAAATACAATGCAGAGTACCGTGATAATGCGCCAACAGATTGGTTTCTCTCCGAATTTGGCTCACTTTTTCACAAATCTGCAGGCTGCAACCCAAGTTACGACGGGTCATGAAACCCATGCGACTGAATAGGGAAACGCACTCTTGGCTGAAAGTAAAAAGGAAGTAAAAAGCAAACATTGACTGCGGATGTATTCAACTGCCTTTCAAACGTTACACAAAACACTACGCACGTGCCGCGCTTAAAGGCGCTGTTGATTCACCATATGAACAGCGGTGTCGAGTGTATGTCACTAAACTGGTTTGCGATATATAAGCTGAATGAATTGAGAAAATCGTGAGCTTGTATTCGCCATCTACATCATCAATCTTGGCGCACTTTTTCATTTTGCGCTTCAGAACCTCTCAAGTATAGAGCTTGGGGTCCAGCAACACCAGTCGGCGGGTGCGGTTTGCGCCGCAGAGGGGCGATGGTGGCATGGTGGTTACTGGTTAGGGTGCTCATCTCTGGACTTTTGTATCCTGGGATGGGGTCCTGGCCACACCACTACGGCATCCCACATACCTGATGTCTGGTAAATACGAATAGAGGCGTTCCGCCTCGAAATAGCCATAGCAGCCGGTGAGACGTGAAGCCCCAATCGGTATTGTAGCCCTGTCCCGACAAGCAAATCGCCGCCCGCCAGATTTGCAAACAATGCTTCCGCTCAATCACTGTATATATATATATATATATATATATATATATATATATATATATATATATATATATATATATATGTGGGAATGATGATGTGTAATTGGTTGGACACGTGGGGCAGCCCGTCCGCGGTCGAAACACTGCCAGCTCAGTCGGGCACGCCGCCATCTTCGCGTCAGAGCCCGAGGCTTCTGACTCGGTTTCCCTCGGTTCGCCTCGGTACACATCCCGGCGGACCGGACATTCGGACATGTCAAACATCACGGGATCTCGCTCGTGCTGAACCGGAGCCCCTCCCCTCCCCCTCATCCTTCTTCTTGATAGTCGCCTTAGTGGAAGAGCCTCGTGTCAGTCAGGAACCAGCACCGGACAGGCTCCCTCTGCCCGTTTCCTCTAGGGCCCAAATGCGTCGAACTGGGATGCCTGTGCTATTTATTAAACCCGCTACGCTTGGGACCTTTTTGGGCCGGTGATTGGCCCCGCGTTGATCCAGGGTCAACCAGCCCGGGCGAAGGGCCTTCGGTGTCAGAGAGAGGACCAATGTATCATGTGCATGAAAAGAAACCGATTGGAAATCTGAAAGGCGACGGAAAGGTCCTTCAGCCCCAATTGGGAAATGCATGGGGTCTCAAGTCTGTGCCGAAAACTCTATTGGGGTCTGGTTGTTGAAGCGGGTGTGGGGGGGGGGGGGAGGGCGAAGGGTCCAGGAACCCCTTGGGAGGAGCTTTTTTCGGGACCGTGAAGTCCAGAAAATGACCAAACTGAATGAGAAGAGCAAAATGTATTGCCAAACAAACTCTGACAATACCTTAGCAACATCTAGCAGTCCAGGAAGCCCCTCTGGTAAACTCGTGGGCCCTCTCTGGCCGCTCAGTCTGGACTTCTTGGTCGCCAGGGGTACGCTGGTATTTAAGGGCCCTTACAAATACTTAGACCTCTGTTGCCCTTCAAACTATGGACACTAAGGGAACTGGAAAACTGCTAGGATACCCTGGTACCCTACTAGGATACCTAGGATTCCCTGGTGGCTCAGCGGTCGTATTCACCGCTCAGGTACCTCCAGCAGAGCACACAGGAGATTACAGGGGCCCATGCCCCGCTCCCTCCCGCCCAAGAGCTCTGGGGACAGACGATCAAAGACCCAATTCGTGGCTTCGAAGGGCCCGAAAAGCTCGGTGGAGATCGTATTAGGAATTCCGGCCCTGCGGCCCGGGTCCGAATAACCGGCATTACTTGCGCATAACCGATATTACAAAAAAATGATATATGTAGACATGAGATCCATGTAAGAACAATCATGGGATCAATTATGTAAGTTGTTCAGTGCATTGGCGAAGAAAATTGTTCACATAAATAAGACAACAGTAGTACTAGCCTTGTTCCTCGGAGAAAAAAAAACAGAAGAATAGAGATATAACTGGGTTGATACTTTATCTGAACAGGAGCAGAAGTGAATGCAAAATTCCCCGCCGATGATCCTATTCGATTTTTCAATTTTGTTTTTAACAGCAAGCCACAGTTTTTACAAGACACCAACGTTCAGCAGATTAAACAAAGAGCGATTGTCAGCCATTACCACGATACAATGCTTATCTAAGAATTAGAATGCGCGAACATACGTGTACATGCAAACAAATTTAAGCAAATGGGCATCACGCGTCACGCTTCATTCAAACATGCAAGCAAGTTGAAGTAAACAGGCATCACACATCGCCCATCAATTATACATGAAAGTGATTTTAATTGAACAGGCATCGCACGTCACGCGTCAGGCATCATTTACACATGTAAACGATTTTAAGCTAGCACACATCCAACATGAATGTACGCATCACGCTCGCATCATCGGCCATAATGAGCACTGTAGGTTAAGATTTGTTCACCGACTCTTTATAGAATTGATTCACTTATTTTCCTGTTTGGGTGATCCTGTCCTCTGTAGATGACTACAGAGCACATCCATCTACTGAGCATAGGACCACCCAGACAGGAAAATAAGTGAATCCATTTTTATTAAAAAATCGGCGACCAGATCTTAACATACAGGGCTCATCATAGCCGATTATGCGAACGTGATATGTGCATTTATGTGTGATGTGTGTTACCTTAAAATCGTTTGCATGCGTAAGGGATGCCTGCCACGTGATGTGCGATGCCTGTTCAATTAAAATCGCTTGCGTGTAAAATTGATGGGCGATATGTGATACCTGTTTACTTCAACTTGTTTTCGTATTGGAATGAAGCGTGATGCGTGATGCCCATTCGCTTGAATTCGTTTGCATGTGCACGTATGTTCGCGCATTCTAATTCTTAGATAGGCACTGTATCGTGGTAATGGCTGGCATTCGCTCTTTGTTTTATCCCCTGAATGTTGGTGTCCTGTAAAAACTGTGGCTTGCTGGTTCACAAAATTGCCTGAAAGATCGAGTAGGATCATCGGCAGGGACTTTTGGATGCACTTCTGTTATTATTTCGATAATGACATGTTGCCGAAATATCAACCTAACTATGCCTCCATTCTCCTGGTTTTTCTCCGATGAATAAGGCTAATACCAGTGTCTTATCTAAGCACGAGATAATTTCAAGCTTACAAGCCGAGGCTACTAGAGAAGGCTACGCAGACGTGACGTCACCATGGGACTAAAATTTGGTAGCCCGCAGTATGGTTTTTGGTTGATACTACGAAAAGGTTGGTAGATTCTAGTCAGGTGATTTAAAACGGAGATTTCGCCATTGAACTGCAGATATTATAATTTTACATTTCAAAGC